GTCTGTCTGTTTGTCTGTCTGTCTGTCTGTCTGTCTGTCTGTCTATCTGTCTGTCTGTCTGTCTGTAATGTCAATAGGGTTTTGTGATAGTGTGTGTGTTTCTCATCTTTGCGCTGTTAAATCCTGGCTAATCTGATGCCACGTTGCACACACACAAATCTCCTTATCATAAACAGAACTGTCACTGATCTTCCGTAGAGATGGGAAGTGACATTTTTTCCCAGCACTGTCCCGGCGCTTCTCTCTCCTTCAGACTAAACACAGGAAAAACATCAAATCTCAGAATGCAACAGTTTGGCAGTGTATATAGGGCGCAAGTCTTGTACAGACATCTAAAATTATTTATTATTAATCAATTATCTCTAGTCTAAAAATGCATCTTGCATCTTCCTGGTGTGGCATTTCTGTACATGTTAATGCCAAACGTAGTTAATCTCTACAAGCCACGTTCATCCTGAGCATCTGTAAGCCATCTGTCTCCCTAATACACACACACACACACACATTTGAAATGTTGAAAGTGCATGACCTCATATCAGATTGAGGCATGTGTGTGTGTAGGTGTCAAAAGTGCTTTGAGTATAATCTTACACTCACAGAAAAACTCTACAGTTTCTTAACATCCTGCATTAAAAGAGTAGTCACACACACATAAACACTGACTCAGACATACAGTAGCATGGACACCAGATCTGTTTGAAATTATGTTATGTCTTTGAATATTTAGACTGGAGGAATTTATTGTTATCTTGGAACAAATCCAGAATTGAAATTAAGATGCTGACTCTCGTGATACTTATTATTGAGTTCTTGTAATCTCTTACTTTTTAAGGCAAAAACATTTCTACTCATCCCCTACAATTGTACTTCCTTTCAGCGTGCAGTTTAAAACAGGTGTCATAAAAAGCTCAGTGACTTCATGTTCATTGACCTTACGTGACCTTGCCTTGTCAAAGCATGCATGATCACTGCATAATGAGAAATGGCCTTTATATTAATAGGAGGCAAAGGAACATCCTGGAACACTAAGTGTCTGTTCTCTCACAGTCCATCATTAAAAGAGTCCAGCTGTGTTGCTATCTCTCCTAAAGACACAATCACACTTCAAAGTGCTACTTTCACAACAACTACGAAGCGTTCATAGGAAGTTCTAGCAATTATGTTCAGACTGTATTTGCACACAGCAGGGACTGTGAAGGAGTGTGTGGAGGTCATGAGAAAGCCACAACCCTCTGGATGGGTGTGTGGGTATTAAAGAGAGGCCCAGTGCTTTATGATATTAATGGACTGTGTGAAGGAAGATCAGATAAGGGAGAGAATGCCACTAAATAGATCAAGAGACCTGCTTCAGAGAGCTTCAAGTCCACATTATGAGACAAACACATCTACACAAAGATCAGACTTAAAAATCTGTTGATATCCAGTGGCGGCTATATCCAGTGATATCTGTGGGGCTCCCCCTTAACCATAAGATGGGGTCCTGCTAACAAGCAGTGATGTCTCATGTGATAGTTATCTATTATTTAGCATTTTTGTGCTCCACTTAGATGTTTTCCTTCCATCTTCCTGGATTGCTATCATTTAAAATGTTTAGTCAACAAACTTTGGTATTGTCAGTCAGTTTGCGACTTGTTTCCTGCCAGATCTACATTCAGTTTTCAGACATGATCTATTGTTTCCTGCGATTGTGATTCCAGAATAAATACATTTTTGACATATTGAAAAGTCAATGTAAGCACACCTTGTCCTTGTAAATGGGGCACTTCCTTTGCAGATGACTCTAGATAGGTAAATCTATCCTGAATTGCATGTGGTATATAACCATTTGACTTATTGTGTGTCTCATATGCCAGTGTTTCCACTTAGCAATAAAATGAAGATCAAAAAAGTGAATGTTCAGATAATATTTCAACAAAACCACACCACTCCAGTCCATCAATTTAAGTCTTGCAAAGCATAAACCAGAATAATTGTGAGAAACAAATCCATCATTAAGCCGTTTTAACCTTAAATCATCGCTTCTGGCCAAAAATGCAGGTCCATAATCCATAATAAAACTCCCTCCAGTGAAAAAGTTCATCCCCTGTTGTCCTCTCTCATCAGAATCCACCGACATATTTGTTTTGGTTCGTAAACGGTACTTGATCTGTGCATATTTCTCTCCTGATTCAGACAAGATGACGTTTTCACTGGGGAAAGAAATGTTATTGATAGAGGACTCGTATTTTAGCCAGAAGCAACAATTTGAAGTTAGAAACGTTTTAATGATGGGTTTGTTTATTACATAACGTGCAACTTTTCACTTCAAAATATGAATTGATGGACTTGAGTGGTGTGCATTACTTGAGCATTATTGTGATGTTTTTATCAGCTGTTTGGACTCTCATTCTGACGGCACCCATTCACTGCTGAAAATCCATTGGTGAGCAAGTGATGTGATACTACATTTCTCTAAATCTGTTCCGATGAAGACACAAACTAATCTACATCTTGGATGACCTGCCTTTACTTGTTTTATATAACTGTAAAAAAGGCAAAAATAAAAAACGTAATAGTCCTAATAAACAGAGTTAATTTTTAATCTAAATCAAACTCCTTTAAGAATATTTGGTAACACTTTATAATAACTGCACTCTATGAATCATTAGGTAAGCATTAGTAAATAGTCAGTTCATCCTTTATAAAGCCTTGTCCCAACATTAATAATCATTAGTAAGCAGTTTATAAATACAGCTATAAATGCCTTGCTCTTGATTTATAAGCACATCTATTACAAAGGAGATTAAAGGCTCAGTTGTCTTCCTAACAAACAAACAAAAATAAAGAAGTAAAAATAAAAAATAAACACAACACAGAGGGATACAGAACTCAGAAATATTTATTTCAAGATGCAATAAAATGAAACTGTACAACTGTACACTTGGATTTGTTTTCTATGAAATTGCAGAGGTTTATTTTCAAAAAAATTTTATCAAGTGTACAGCTGTACAGTTTCATTTTTTGCATCTTGAAAAAATATTTCCGTGTTCTGTATCCCTCTGTGTAGTGTCTGTTTAACTTTTCTGTTTGGAAGATAAATTATCCTTTAAATCTCCTTTGTAAATGCTTTACAATGTAAATAGTCGTCACTTTAGGTGAGCTCACAAAAATAGATGGCTGGCAACTACTAAATGTTTTATAAGCAGGAATATGTGTCAATAAAGCAGTTATTAACACACTGAGCAACTATCATGTGTCTAAATAATAAGATTTATATATGTACATTTAAATGGTTTATTAATCATTTACTCACACTTTCTTAATGATCTTATGAACCACTGACAACTCCTAAATAACTGGTTTGTAAATAACGTAATAATTTAGAAAAGATAAATTGATCGTTAATAAAGTATGAAAATACAATTACTAATACTAATGCCTATTAATGTTGGAACAATGCTTTATAAAGGATGAATTGACTAATGCTTAACTAATGATTCATAGTGTGCAGTTATTATAAAGTTTTACCAAATACTTATATGAACCTTGAGTTTTTAAGTCTCCACCAGCTGTTTTTTTGCATTTGCTTCCATCATTCATCAAAAAGTATATCACTTACATGGTAACTCAACATAATGCCTATATGTTTGTGTAGGAGGCAGAGATACAGCGGGTCTTGGAGGGAAGAGAGGCCCTTACCGTCTGGATGCTGGACACAAAGTTTACCAGATCTCTCAGGCGGAGAAAGACACTGTGCCCGATGAGGGGAAGAGAGCAGCACGGGAGATGGCCGAGAAGGCTTTTAAGCAGAGGTACACCCATCTGTCTCTCTCATTCATCACTCACTCAGTTCCAACCCTCACAGATTTCTCCCAAAAACCTACACTTGACCCTGCGTGACCTTTACCCTCTGCTCTGAGTGCTTGTTAATCTCTCTAGATATTCTGCAGTGCTCTCTCAACGAAGCTCAGAAACACTCTGTCCTTGTGAAAGCATATCAGTATATTCTTGTGTGAGGCTCTGTTTTATAATGTACTGAGCTGCCCGAGTATGCAGTATATGCATTAGTACTGAATATGTCCTTTGATGAAAATAATGATAATGCATTGCATTGAGCTCAGTGAAAAAAAAAACTGATGCAAGACAGGGTTATTATAGTTCAATCATGACAACTCTGTGAACTTTTTAGCATGGTGATGGATATGACAGTGTTAATGTATTTGGTCTTGGCGGAACAGATCTGCTACGCTGCTGCTGAATTGCTGCTGCTGTTGGTTATTGCTGTAGTTGTAGATTATTGCTGCTGCTGCAAGCAAGTACAGGAACTTGCTACTGCCAATGCATATGGCGATACGGTGCCATGAGTATTTAAGACATACTGCTGCTGCACAAACAGCATATAAAATAACCCCGTAGCAGATCTATACAGGTGGAGCTGGGGAAGGTGGAGGGTTTCACCTGAATTCTCTGAAAGCGCCCTGCAGGAATCTCAATACAAACAAAAGAAAACTAATAAAAGCGACAAAAACGCAACAAAATTACCAAAAAAATAACTAAAATGAAAATAGAAATACCAAAAAAAATATTTTTACATAAAAATGAACTTAATTAAAAAAACAGTGTCTCAATGATAGTAAAATAACACTGATCCAAGATGGCAAATGAAATGAGATATTGATTTAAAATATTATCGTATTTAAAGTTAATATTAATTGTCATTTGCATTCCATTTTAATTCCATAATATGTCATGTGAGTAAAACAGAACATTGTTTGAAAAAGTTGGGGGTTTTTAAGCATCAAGAACTTATTGGATCATGAAAAGTGACGATAAATGCCAGGATATGAATATGTGTTTGCTAAAACAATAGTTTTTGCCTATTTAGGTTAACATGATCCAATAACCACATGGCCTTAACAAATCAATATACTTGTGCTGTAATGCTGTAAGTCAAAGATGATCATTCTATAGAAGAGTATGGCAGACTTTCAGAAAGATGCTCAGATCAAGATCAGGCACGTAAACTATAATATTTATGACTTGACATGGAATTATAACTTGTTTGAACAATCTTTTAAAATGCTGATATTATCAAACTTTCATCAAATCCATTAGTAATATCCTCTGATGTTTGTGCACTAAAAATACTGTCACATCCTGGAGGATGATATCATTAAGTTAAGTGAGGACATATTACAAAATACCAACATTAGCAATAAAAACAATGTAAATAATATTCACAATATGCGTTTTTCTACAAAAGTAGTGAAATTAGTATGATTTCCTTCTTTACAAATTGTGGGTCCTTTTCTATCCATAGTAACGCTTAACGCTGTTGAATTCTTTTACGTTTGTCTTCTTTGTGCTGCACATTGTTGTGATCTGCATGCTAGCTGTCACGTTCACAATATTTCATTCTCAGCTGAGATGGCTTGTGTCAGGGGTTTCCACAGGAAGAGGAACTTTATTTACCTATTTTGCAAGTGTGTGTTGCACCCGACAAACCACCATTACTTTGTAAAACTAGTCTTTCAACATTGCTGAACTATGATATAGGAAAAGCTGAATTTTCAGCATCATTACTCCAGTCTTCAGTGTCACATGATCCTTCATTCTAATATGCTGATTTGCTGCTCAAGAAGCATTTATTATTATTATCAATTTTGAAAACAGTTGTGCTGCTTAATATTTTTGTTGAAACCGTGATGAATAATTTTTTCAGGATTGCTTCGTGAATTTATGTGAAATTGAAATCTTTAACATTATAAAAAAATTGTACTGTTTAATTTGACCAAATTATAGCAATCCTTGCTGAATAAAAGCATTAATTTCTTTTGAAATTCTTACTAAGTACAAACTATTGAAGTGTAGTTCATATAATGAAATAAAGTTGGTGACATGATTAGGGCAGTATTTTACTTGCTCTCCATTCATTGTTCTGAGCAGTTTTCCAAGGCTTACAAACATTCCTGATCTTGATACAGGAATGACATTAACCATTGCTTTATTCCTTACTTGCTTATGCATATGTAAAAACATATAGCGGGAGATTTACACTGTTCTGCAGAGCAACCCATCGGCTGTTGTTTTCTTGTTTTACCGCAAATCTCACAATTTGCCAAAAGAGTAAGATAAATAAACGTAATTCACTATTTGTTCTCTGAGAAGTTTTGACAGTTTTGCTTCTCAAGTAAATATATCTTGTTTTGAGGCAATATAGATATTTTATTATACTATATAATCATTAGGAACAATGTTTCTATTTCTGTTGTGTCTATGTTGTGAAAGTGTAGCAGTGTGTTAGTCAATCGAGTCAAGCAGAGCACTTTTTCACTCTCATTCGTGGCATGGCCACACTGGCCAGCTCTCTCTCTGCTCTGTGGACAGGTTTGGAATTCAGGAGAAAATAGCAGCAGCAGTCTGTCCTCTCTCCAATAACACTGTGCAAAGAATGTGAGCTTCAGAAGCCAGACAGGAAACCCACAGCCTGTGTGCGTGTGTGAGAAAGAGAAGCACAGCAGGAAGGAGAATGATAATACCACGAGCAAAAAGAGTGCGCTCCTTACGTGCTGCATTATCTGTTGTAGCACAGAAACAATCTAGCGGCACTTATGTGACATTTTTGGTCTCGTGCTGATGGAGAGGTGAGGGATGATTTAGTTTGAAAGGAAACACAGTGTGACAGTATTTTGGGATGGGGCTTCAGATCACGCTGTCTGATCTGATCTCACGCCTGATAGTGTCGGTGTGTGAGCGCACCTGAGCTCTGTGGGC